TGGTAAACTATGGTCAAAGAGAGTCCCCTTTGAGGAAAGATTGGAGAGCAAGGTGAGTTAAGAGTGAAGAAGAGAGGACACTGGAGTTGGAGATTTGAGTAGGGAGAACTGGTAAGAAGAACCAAAAGAGAGGCCTGCAATCAGGTGCTTCAAGAGAAGACATTTAAATGAGAGGTTAGCAGGAAGAGGAAGTTCTAGCAGGAAGAAAAGAAGAGTTTTGAAGAGATTATATGAAATGCTAAAATAGAATAGAAAGTAAAGTTTGCCAACAAGGTTTTAAAAAAAGGACACTGGTTAATAAAGAAGATATGACAAAGGTGAAAGACTGACAAAAAAGAGAATTTCCCCTTTCAGTGGAAAGGGGAAAAATATTGTTACTGAGAAAGAAAATTTTTGAAGAAGTGAGGATAATGTGGGGGAGCACAAAAGTGTTTTGTAACCAAGTGGGTGATTATTTGTGCTCCTATAATTGATATTTCTTTGGCTGATTTCTGCCTCTACACCAAATGAAGAAATGAGAATAGATAGATATTTGAGCACTAGTTTATATGAATGACTTTGATAACCTGGTCTGGAATCTGTAATTGGAGAATTCAGATTATCTTGGTTACTGTTTTACTTAGGCTGTTTCTTCCCAGGGTATCCTGACATGTCTGTGGAATGGACACAGTGTGACTGGGTCTCAGTGTAAGGCTGTCCTCTTCCTTCTCCAGAGATGCTGTCCTTGCAGGGCCAGGAGTTGGACTTCAGTGATCCTTGTGGGTCCCTACCAACTCAGGTTGTTCTATCATTCTATATTCTGTGCTCTTTCCATATGTAGAATGAACCTGGGGGAGAACCCACCTTCCTGTTTGAGAAGCAGTCTTATGCTGCAAATAAACACAGAAATAGTTGGAAGATAACAGGACTTTCTTTATAAACAGCAGTTTATCTAGTGTTTTTAAAAGTGATTCAGCATTCTGGATGTCTTAAAATATTCCTGTAAGGGAAGATTTTCCATCCTTTCACACGGATGCCCTTGCAAAAAATCAAGTTCTTTTCCCTCCCCCTTGCAAACTACAGAATAGGTTATAATAAGAAAAAAATGCTGGGGGTGAACAGTTGCCTCATCCTTTTAACCTCAGAAATTAATCAGATTAAGCTTCAATACTTAAATATTTTAGTAGTATAATACTAAGTGATGAACCTTATTTCTGTCAACTCATCAAGTCATCAGCCCTAATCTACACAGAAAAAGGAAACTGGTTGAAATGCATAAGTTAAAATGCAAAAAATCCACTCATACCTCTGTAGAGATGCATTAGTATGCTCATTCTGTAATATATAGCAAATCTGGTGCAATTTTCACATAGAAGCTCTCACATAGAAGCTGTACCTTCTTCCAGCTGGAGTGAGGTCACGTTATGTCTTGTTCAAGTGGAGAAGGAAGAAAGTATCCTCCTAAATCACTGTGCTCTACAATGGAGACTGAACAGCCATGAAGGTTTCTTATGCTTGTATCAATTGACTGTGATATTCTAAGAAAAAAAAATTCTATCCTTTCTAATTAATAAGGAATATGGTGTATATCTGGAATCTAACCAAAATGACTAACCAGTAGTTTCATTTAAGGGCAAGACTGTGAGTTACCAGGACCTTTTTTCCAAAAAGCTGGCATGTATGAATTCAGAAGCATCTTCTACCACTGTTTGCATTGCTTTATAAAACAATGATACACAGAATTAGCTGCATGGGTATCAAAATAAGCAGGGAAAGCTAAATAATTCTTACCTTTTAGGCATCTGTAATTTCATCTTAGTGTAGAGCCAGTGAGCATGACCAGGTCAGACTGAAGTTGTACAGTGCAGCTGATGAAAGTGAATTAATAAAACCAGTGCACCATGAGCCTGTGGGAATGCAAGTTTCTTCTGCTGTGATATAGGCATAAAGGAAAGACTTTTGTAAATATAATTTCAATTTTTGTTTAAGCTTTTTGTGAGGGAAACAGCATGCTGTAGTTCACATGGTATTAATTTTATGGTTTTATTTGTATAAGGAATGAAATAGTTATCCTTTAACTTAGCAATTAAGCTCAATTGTATATACCACTGTAGATGCTTGTTTGGTGTTTGAAAGCAAATAGACAATCCTTTCCTTGTGGTTTTGTTTTTTGGTTTTTTACATCATTATAATTTTCCCCTTGTACACAATTTCTTTGTGACACAGTGAGCATTTCTAAAAGCACTAATACTGTGTGAACCAAAGGAGGAAATAATCATGGGACATGTGAATCGAGATATTTTGCTTTCTGAAGACTCGTTCAACCTTTTGTCTTCGGAAATAAGCACATATTTTTATGAAGTTATAAAAGACAATAAAGAGATACTGTTCTTTTTCTGAGAGTGTGTATGTTGACTCAGGAGGAAGTCCTGGCTGAGTTATGGAACCCTGAAAATGATGACCCATTAGGAGACAGAGCTCAAATTTTATTCAATAGAGAGGTTACTGCAAGTATCAACTGTAATTGTACACAAATAGTGACTGTGTATGTGAATATTTATCATTTGCATTTTAAATTTGTCTAGCAGCATCTTGGGGGCATCTTGTTTTCTTCCATTTTAAAAATCTGAATATCACCTGTAATTAAGGAAGAAAACTGAGGCCTGGAAGCTAGGTAGGACTTCCATCTATTGATCTGTGTAAACCCGGCTTACGCTGTCAGGGGAGAAGCAGTCAACTGCTGAGCTGCTTTGTCACTGACATAAGCCGAGAGAGGATTTTTTTTTTTTTGTCTATACTGTTTATACACCAGTCTATAGACCTGCTGGCTGGTTGAATTTTAAAGAGTGCGGAGGTTTAAAGACTTGTCCCCCGAGGGATGCTCCTGCCAGTTGGGAAGCGAGCTGAGGCTGCTCTGCAGAAGTTGAGTGCACGTGTGCTGGCTGGGGAGGGACGGGCGGCGCTGGGGGAGCGCCGGCCTGGGGAACGCTGCAAAACATACCCATAATTTTCAGGTTGTTTAGTCAAAATATTGAGCTAATACCTTTGGTTTTTTTGTTTTTGTTTTCTTCTTCTTGTGTGATAATTTATTCTGAGAGAGTACAATGGGGAACATAAATGAATACATTTCCATACCCAATTCTGAGTCAGTGCTAAGCTTACCAGGCAGCAATTAAAATCCTTGGTAGTGAGGAGAAAGTAATTTCCTATAGTGTGAGAATAGGTGCAGATTTAGAAAGAGAATGACATACTATTTCTTCAGAACAGGAAAAAACAAACCTTATGAGCCTGAACAGAAAGACTATTAGGAAATGTTTAGGAAATTCCTGAGTTAAAAGTTTTGATTAGCCTGTTCTGTTTGTTTTCTTTCTTTAGAGTTTATTATTGCTACGACTGGAATCTTGTGTGCTTGTTCCTGACTGCAGAAATTCAAATGTTTACCTGCCCTGTTTGTATTTTGTTCCTTACCCTTCTGCAGTGGGCACTTACAGCAGGCAGGATGGTGCTTGAGCAGTTCCTTTTGGAGAGTATTATATGTACTGCTGTTGTTCATAATGGAGTTAATAACCTTTCCCGAACACAATTGTGGCTTTCATACCCTTTATCTTTGCTGACAAAGTAAAAGTTCTAAAGATTTCTTGAAGTCTCTTGTATGACTTAGAAATTATAAAAATGTTGACTTTTTCATTTTGTACCACATGATGATTTACTGGGGCACATCATATACCTTTGAAATGTTGTAACTAGCACATGCACGTTGTAGTCAGTCATCTTTTTCCTGAACTATTCATCCCTTACTGATAAACTTGGATGGGTTCTTTGTTTTACGCTATCCACTGAGCCAGGCAAATGTTTAAATAGTCATTGTAGTGTGTAGGAATTTTAAATACATAATTTCCCCTAATAGTAGTTCAACATGCAGTAAACAGAGTGTTCAGGCTGGAGAGTGCTAACATCTTAGATCAGCTTCTTAAATGCTCACATGCAGCTCTGGAAATTTGTAATCAATATGCATTTTTCTGTATCCAGAAATACATGTCTGTTGGTCTGCTGCAAAAAGGGAATTCTGTAGCTTTGACCAGCTGCGTTGATGTCTACTGTTCTGCCTCTTCTTAGCTGAAGCGATTCACAGGGGGTTTGTTTTCCCAGTTGGGAGCAAGGAAATAAAACCTGTTTTTCTAGGATCTTATAAAAGAATTTTGGGATATTTGCTGCTAACTGATCTGGTAATTCACTTTCAAAAAAAAAAGGGGGTAGAAAAATGTTGACTGGTTTGAGAGCATTTTTATATTTTAATTAACACATTTTATTTGCCACTAAACAGCTTCTGAAATAAAATTGTGCAAGAGAGAGTGACATCATCCTTTTAGGCTATGGTACGAATGTAGATCTGGTGGATTTTGCTCCCCCCCCCGCTCCCACTCTTATTAATAGGAAGGCTTGCTTGTGAAACCCAAAGGGTTAATCATATAAATTTCTGCTTTGGACCAGCAGACGATTTCCATCATTTTCAGCGTTTGACTATGGAACATGTATAGAGTTGTTATACCTCTCTGTAATTCATTCTGCTGCCAACTTCATTCCCTTTTCTCTGCCTGCATTTTAATTGAAACAACATTTGTATTTTTGAGCCAGGATCTGTCAGAAGTCCCTGTGGCTAGTCTGTGGTACAAGTAGCAGCAGACGTGGCTTACCCATATGGTGTGGTGCTTCTTGTAAAATCCATATGGCCTTGTTGAAGGGAATCCCAGCGGGGATGTGAAGGGTGTTAATACCCTTCAGGCCAGGCCTTTCCCTCCTGGGGCTTCTGTGGCATTGTCTTTGCAATCTGCCAAAGCACAAACTTAATTCCTTTTTAATAATCAATTATTTCAGTCCAGGAACGTGTGCTGTATTTTTGCAATCGTATATTCCTTGAATTTATTATTTGTTATGAATATTTTTGGTCATTTTTTAAAAGCAAACCTTTGAAAAGCCTTTTCAAAAACCCATAACTTTATTTCTTTTACTTACATTTTCAGGAAGTGCTGAACAGCGTTCCAAAGTTCTGCTTTCCTTTTGACGTTGAAAGGTATGTGCTACAGTTATCATTTATTTAAAAATTTTTAATAGAAAATTATATTTAACATAATTGCAAGCAAGGATTTAAAGAAAAGGAAAATGTAATGTCCTCCCTAAGCTTGCACCTGCAGATGAGAAAACATGCCCTTTGTTGTTCAAATAAGTATGAAGTCACTAGTAGGAAGCTATCACAGCAAAATGCAACCTTTACAGAATTTTGGGGATATCTCTGTCAAGGTGGAGCTACATTCTGACTCCCAGTTTTGTCCATTTTAATTGTAAACACCATCTGTGTTAGTATAAGGATATAACATAGTTTCCTTCAAGCGGCAAGCTTCATAAAAATGTTACAGTGCACCAGGATATAAAAACTCACTGAGCAGTACTGCAAACATGTTGCTTTGAGTTCAAAGAAATTGAGACTTTAATTGCATGGAAGTAGCTGAATATGCAATTGATTTTTCTCAGAGAAGAATCAAGACCATTATTTATAATTAATTAGTCCTTACCTTTCTGGTATCAGTTATAGTCTGTCTTCCATGTAATGCTGCCAGTCATTTAAATTGTTCATATTAAATGTTTTTATTATTGAAAATATTTATTCGGGCTTGTGAAAATGATTAATGGTAATTAATTTAGTAGATTGAACTCACTTGGTTTGGAAAACTCGTACTGTCCAAATTGGCAAAGATTAAATTAGAAATTTGATTTGCATGATTAATGAAAGATATATTCAGGTAGTGTGCAGGCTGAACCAGTTTCAGAACATGGGCATCAGTTGTAGATGGAGATTCAGAGACGAGAAACATTTTTCAGATGCAAGAAGATTGCTCTCTGTGGAGTAAAAGATGGTGTGTGTAGAGAGGAAAGAATGATCCTTTCAGGAAGACAAACTGGCAAAATAAAGATCTTTATAAACACAACTTCCTTGAAGTAAACTAGGTTCAGTCTTTTATAGATGAATTTAATTAAGTTGTTTGGGGTTTGAACTGGTTAAGCTCACTGTCCTTTAAGCTGTTTTAATGACTTAACTAATATGCTTGTCACTGTTGGCTTTAAAGCATTAAAGTCTTTAATGTGCTTAAGATATGTACAGAATTGTTTAAAATTGGTAATGAAGATGAATAATGGAAATAAAATTTGAGGATAACAGAAAAAGGTGAGGTTCTGTTGCTGCCATCCAGTGGCAAGAAGATAATCAGTGGCAGCAAATAATTATTTTCAAATAACCGGCTTTAACTATTCCTGTTGAACCATTCAGAAGGCACTTGGCTGCGTGTATGAGATGGATGAACTTAATCACTAAACTGTGGGAATACAGGAATTTATAGTATAGCTAAGAATGTATTGTAGCTGAGTGTTGGAAGGGGTAAAAACAAAAGGAAATGGAAAAAAAGGAAATAAAAACTTCTGGGATGCTTGTTGCCTGTCCATTTAATACCCTCTGTGCCGCCCTCCCCAGACATGCTTTTTGCCTGTTGGCCCCACGCTTGACAGTAAAGCAGTGCTCTCAAAGGTGCCAAATTTCTACAAATTTTGTGAAAACCGGCGGTTGGGCAGAAGGAGAGGTTCTTGGAAGATGAGATATACTGATGAGGAGAAGAAAGCCGACGTGTTCAGCCTGGCCCGCTGAGGGCTCAGGCGGCACCGCGGTGTCTTTAAAACAAGGTGCCGCACTCGCTGCTTCCTGTGTAGCTGGGAGCTGAGTTGTAGGGATTTGTGGGAAAACCAAAGGCAATGCGGGATCACGAGAGTATAAAAGAGCACTGAGAAGGAGGAGGGGCAGAGCTGCTGTGGAGAAAAGGACAGAAATGCTGGAAGCTCATTCAGGAAAGCAGGAACTGTTTACTGGCAAGCTGTTTGTGTGAACAGGTTACTGGCTGCTTGGTGTATTTGCCATTTGCTTCTCAGTTCAAGCATTTTCTATAATGTGGCCTTTTTTTTTTTTTTTAAGAAAACCAGTTGCATTCTGCTTTCTCAGTTTAATTTTTTTTATTTTGAATTTTGAATGATAAAGAAAAGGATTGGGAAAAACACTGCTGTAGTTCCTTTTCATATGACTTTTTCCACTGAACATTTAAGATGTGACTAGTTTTTGTCTAGTAATATATGTGTTTTTCACTTGCCTGATGAAAATACATATTTTTTTTTTTGTCTTGTGTAGAGGATCATGGTAGATAATAGACCTAATACCCCCAAGTATTTTACAGACAGGTTTCAATGACAATTTCTGTACAGAAAGCTTTGATTGAACTGAAATAGAAAATATGTTTCATTGATTGAACATATTGAACTCCAGAGAGCACAGTTTGTCAGCCTGTATTATGTGTACTATACATGTATAAACTACGTCAAGCAATATCTGAGCCTATTAAGAGCTAGAAATTACCAGTGCTAAAGTGATAACTTCCACTGATTCTGCCAATCAAGATACTTAAAACAAAAAAATGTAACTCTGTTCCATAGATTGCCTCTGGATTTCTACTATACAGCAGAGTTGTAGGGAATGGAGTATTATTTCTGTTATCTAGCTAAATAAAACTCATTAAAGTAGGCAATCAACATTCTTCAAATTATGGAAATAGGAAAGTTAAAGCACCATTAAAGCAAAGTGGTAAAATCATCATCACCTGTTTTCTTTCAGCTCACCTATATTAATTACCAGATGAACTGAAAAATGAATAAAATGAGAATGTATATTTGATTTTCTTTTATTCACTGTACTACAGTGATCATAGACAGAGATCCAGATTTAGTTCTCACTATTTGATGCTGCTTGCATCCTCTCACCAGACGTACTTTATCTTTTATGCATATGTTATAAATAAATGTACACTACTTGTTCTAATTATTAAAAATACATACTGTGAATGGTGATTAAAAATCTAGAGGTAACTCCCACTAAATTTAAACTTAAAGTCAAGCCAATAGACGCACAATGGTGTTAAAAAATCCTTTGGCAATGACTTAAACTTTGAGTTTTATGTATAATTTTTTATTGAAAGCAAGCACATATTGTCATTACTGCTGGTTATGGCTTACATTTTATTTTGAAGAGGTTAAGAAATGAATTGCATGATAGAAGTTCTTGAGCATTTGCTGCAAGAACCTATTTCTTTTTTTTGAGAATAAATTATTTTATGTTTAATAAATGATGCAGTTGTATAACATTCTAACAGTTTCCTTATATATATTTATGAATAAGTTCCCTTTGGTACACAATTCCTTTGGTTTTTTTATATGGACTATGAAGATTTAACATTTGAGGATATAGAGATTTTAATTTCCTTTTAGTGTTTGCTAAAGCAGTATTAATGCATCGGAGAAAAACACTTTGTCCTCTCTCTTGTTCTTTGAGTCCTTTATGTGAATTCTGCATGGTTTTCTTCCCTTTTATTTCTCCAATAGTCTTCTTTATTGTCACTCTCAACCCAAAATTCAGGTGTAACTTTGCAGAGTCATACAGCTTGATCTCTGCATCCATCTGTCAGTTATTTAGCTGGATGATGACTAATGAACAAGCTAACTTCTCCTCTTGTTCCTTTTAGAACCGTTTCAGATTCAGTCCAAGCAGTGCCACGTCACTGCTTGACCCCTCGTTTTTATCTGTGCTTTGAATCTCTCCCATTTCTCTCCGCCATAAGTACCTCCCCTCACTTCTTTCATTTCTCAGTCTTTTCCCTTTCAGGATGTATTTCTCCTGCTGAATGTGTAGCCCATATACCTCTTTAGATAAGACACTTTGGGAACTGCCTGTAGGATCAGCATGGAGACAGTGATATGTATTTCATTAATTCTTCCTACGATACTCACCCAATCGCAGGGAAGTGTTAGATTTTGGAGCATAAGCAGTGATGCTGCTGCTGCAGTAGAGGATTTCTCTTTAGCAGCAGAATATCACTTAAGTATGGGAATTAATGTGAATATTATTTAACTCCTAATCTCTTAGGGTCAATGAGTAATAATAGCAGGAGTGACATCACTGTCACTCTCCTGTTCTTGGCTAATGCTGTTTCTGTTATTTCTGGGGAAAGTCTGTGCAGAAACAAGACAAGTGCAAAACAATGGCTGTAGAGATCATTGGATTTGCAGATCTTGTGAAAGGCCGTTATATCTTACATGAAAATTTTGCCTTCAGAGTAAATACTTGAGAATGAAAAGTAAATGAGAAAGTATTTCAAGCTGTACAGGTGAAGGTAAATAAACTAGCATTCCTTGTACACTTCAGTCATTGCAGTCAGTTTGCAAGATGGGTTACAAACTCAAAAATGCAGCAGCCATGTACAATTGATTTCTTTGTATCTTTTTGTCTCAGTGTATTATGGTCTGTGTGTGCACACTACTGAACGTATGTGTGAGAGAGAAGTGTTGGTAAGGACAGGCTGCAGTGTGCGCTGTGGAGTTTCCATGTGTGTGCAGAAGTGGACCTGTCTGAGAGGAAACCTGGGAATGCCAAGGGAGCCGCAGTGTGCTCCCATAGACCCTTGGCCAGGTGTGATGGTCAGGGCCCCTAGACAGAAAAGGCTTCTGTTGCAACTAAAATACTCCCAGTGAGACTCTTTGCTAAGTAGTTGTGGTTTCTTTTAAAGCTTCCAGCATTTGTTGTTCTGAAAACATAACCCCATTTATAAGTATGCTTTTTATTCATGGGAAATGTCTTAGTTGTGGTTTTGTCCATTTTTTTATCTTCTGCAGTTTTCTTCCTCTTCCTTTTTTTTCCCCTGAATTGTAAGGGGTTGGGGCTTCTGGGAAGCAGAGCTCAAATGAGATAACTCAGTTGGAACACAGCGGCACTCCACACAGGGAGCCTGAGCTTTGGAGTTGTTGGAGGGGGCCTGGAAATGGAGAAAATAATCCCTGAAGCTTAGATTGGGGATAGCGATTAGTTTAAGAAGACTGCCCAACCCTGAGTTGCTGTCTGTCTCTCTAGTCTCTCCATCATCTTGTACCACTACCTTAACATCTGTTTTTCAAATTCCTGCTTGAAACGGTTTCTAATTTGTTCTTCGATTTGGGGAAAATTAGGGTGAATTTGCTTTTCAGCATTTAGCTTGGGAGTTGAAATACGTGTGAAATTTTCAGGTTTAGGTAGCAGCTGCCAAAGCTTCAATCAGAACCATGTACTTCAGTTACACTGGTCAAATACATGTACGTGACATTTTATAATTAATGATACAAGTAACTTTATGACTTATTTTTGAAAACAAAAATCTGTATTCCCATGCATAAGGTCTTTAAATTTTTTTGGAACTCTTTAAAAATTCCTAAAATTTGAAGAAAAAATAATTTCAAACATCTGCTGTATCCTAAACTAATTAATTTGGAAGAAGAACAATTTTTATTGAGAATAAGGGATACATTTAATGATTAGATATGCTGTTTTTTGTTTGAAGGAAAGTTTCAATTCCTACCTTAATCAGCTCTCTTAAGGCTCTCTTAAAATGAGGCCTGAGTGATGGCTGTAATGTAAACAAAAACCTTTAAAATGACTCTTTACCTATTCCATGGGTACCAAGGAGCCTTTTCTGCATTGTGTAGGTAAATACTTGAAAAATTTTAAAACCTAGTTTTATTTCTATAGTGAACTGTAGTAACCTTGAAAGAGCCCGTTGTAGTCTGCAGGGTTAATAAGTATTTACACACATTCTTCTAGTGATTTATTATTCCTGAACTAAGATTAAAAGTAAGCATGCAGGGCAAGAGTTGCAAGTAAGGCAAAAGCAAGGCAGAGGAATGAGTGAGGAGAAGGTCGGTGATGCTTGGGAACAGTTTGTGCCTGCTCTCCCCTTGCAAGTGAGCAATTCATGCTCTCTTCAAATCTCCAACTAGACCAGTGTTCTGCAGGAAGGTTTTGAAGCTCGGCCAGTTGATCCTGTGATCCAGTAAAAAGTCTAGATAACATTTTGTTTAGGGAATTCTGGTATGTAATAATTGCATTTTATCTGTGTTGATTTTCACGTTAAGAAAAACTTGAGAGGCATCAATGTTGTGGTTCATTAGCAGTGCCAGGAGCTGCTGCCTGCCTCTGGAGGTGAGACTTGATTTCTGAACAGCTGAATATGCCATGGTGCAACAGAGAGGCACAGTCCCCAAGTCACTTGGCCCAACATTTGTCTGCATGATGGAACATGCTATATATATGTTAAAACTGTAGTGCTAGCGCTTCTGGAATGTTTTGTGTGTCTGGTTTATGCATTGTGGTTGTCTATTGATAGACAGAAATCCCCAATCAACATTTGTTTTTCTCTATAAGGCTTGCATATAGTTAGTTTTAATTCTGCTGAAGAGGAGTAAAAAAACAGACCTCCTTGCTGCCCCCACATCTTAAGTGGAGCTCTCAAATTAGAAACCTAGAATTAATTCAGTATTTTAAACTCTGATCAGAGAATGTCATCCAGATGGATGGTCACTGGCTTCTGTTAGCTGTTCTTTTGAAGCAAATGGGATAAAATGCAAACTTTTGGGTTCTTGTGGATATTCAGTTTTAGTCTTGGAGTTTTTATCATATTAAAAATCTGGAACTTGCTGCTTACATCTCTTTCTAAACTGTGTGGGAAGCAGTTTTCAAGCCGCGCAACTTTTACACTGACTGTCAAAACATGGGGCTGCCTCTCTTAAAAAAGCAAAGATATTGATTTGGAGGTGGTGAGATGGCATTGGAATTGCTTCCCACTGAACCCATAACTTGACTGGGCTATTTTTAATAGAAAATATCAGAATTTAAATCTCATTTTTAAGGTGGCTGTGTGTAGTGACATTTTGTTACACTTTAATTGCAATACTGGTTATTTTCCCATATCATCTTCAGGTTTTGGGAAGGGAGGCTGCAAATAGCTGGAAGCAGGAGATCCTAACTGATGTCAGTTTTTGGGGCTAAGGAATTGAGTTCAAGAAGTAATGGTGTAGTCATTTGCCTGACATACATGTACACAGTACATCAAAAGCAATGCCGGCATAGATGGGCATGTATTACAGTTGCTGGTTATGAGTGATCTCTTTAGGTTAAGATGATGGTGCAGAGAGACCCCAGCCTAACCATGCCAGGTGTTCTGTGGTGTAAGGAGAAGGCAGTCAGGGCTGCTGGGAGCTTCAAGCCTAACAGTAGGATACAGCAGAACAAAAGAGAGTGGGAGCAGGAGACAGCCGAGGTCACTGCACTGCATTGCCAGTGCTACTGACTGAGCAGCTACTGCTGAGTTAATGTGTGAGCCCCCGGCCACAGCGTGCGCAGGGGCACTGAAACCACACTGCAGGTTTCATGGCAGTCTGCTCTCAGGAATAAAGAGGAAAATGCAGAGATGTGAAATAGAAAATTGCTCGGTTGGCAAGGGAGTAATAACGCCCTATTACTGATGGCTCTCCGTGGTACCAGGCGCAGTGTACAGGCAGCATGACACAGAACCTGAGCAAGGAAGGCCTGAGCGAAAGCCACTGCGCATTTACCATTTAAAGAGCCACACTAGGGTTGTTCCAGTCTGTTGAAGAGAGCTGGGGAAAGTGTTTGTTCTAATTATTTGAGTTTAATTACCTAACTGAAAAAAGTTCATTCATTGTCACAGGTTTCCAGTGGTTATATTGGACTTAATGTATCTTGTAATGTTGTATGCACAGGCTTTTGTTTCAGCCCTGTCACTGTATGTTCATGAGGGACTAAACTAAACTGAAAAGAATAGGAGACTGCAATCTGGGTAGTGGTACCACTTAACTAATCTTTAAGCTTTTTTCATACATATGTTAAGCAATATAATGTGCCTGTGTCCTGTGTAACTTCTCTTGCCCTTTGATCATCTACTTTCTTTTTCCCAAGGGGAAAATTTTCTATATTTTATTTTGGTGGAGATTTAAAAAAAACAAAGCGAGCAAACCAGCAAAAAAAACAACCAAAACCACAACAAAAAACCCCCAACCCATATTACAAGGGATAAATTAAAAAAATATTTTGTGGTCTTGGATTGATAGACTGAGGTCTGTGATGGTTTTCAGCTTCTCTGGGAATTCACTTTCAGCTTGGTCATCTATGATTGACCCACAAATGACACATGTTAATCATAGCACTTAACTAGCAGGTGCTTAGGTATTTTGCTGTAGAAGATCATGTAAGAATAGGAAAAGAACAGCAGACAATAGAATTACAGGCTGAACTCTTGCATTTTATGCTTTCAAATCTCCATGCACTCCCCATCTTAACTTTATTTTCATTTGGTTTTAATGAAATCTTTAGTAATCTCTTCTGAACAAAACCATTGTATGCCACACATCACCTCTTCTGGCTGAAAATGCCAAGCCTGCCTAGAACTAATTTTCTTTGGGAGATTTTGGTAAACTTCAGATACAGTTTGTTTTTCTTCTAAAATGCTTACATCAAATGCATTTTGCAATTTGATCACTGAAGTGATCACTGAAGTTTGGTCACACTGAGAGCGGGTCCATCCCATGGTCTCAGTGATATTCTGTCTGAAGCTGACAAACTGCACAAGAGAAAAACGTCATGCTTGAGAGCCTAAAGGAGAATTAGAAACATCATGACAGTGAAGATGCCATTTGTTAAAAGGAAATTGGGAAAAGGCTCATACTGTCAAGCAGAAAGTGGGAGATCAGGACTGGAAGTTGGAACTAAGATCTGGAGATGAGTATGTGGAGTCAGAGGTGACATGGGAGGGGTGGTAGAAACTCAGAACAAGTGCATGTTAGCCTGCACTGCTGAGAGAGTGCTGACTGCACAGAGCTTGGGGATAAGAGGAGGGAAATTTGGTGTAAATACTCTGTCTCAAGTGGGTATGTATTTTGATACAGTCTTGAAGATATTGTTACTTTATTTTTTTTTAGCTCTTGTGCTGTTAGTTCTTGATTATGTGCTAGCTTTTGCATTTCCAGAACCAAAAAAATTTGCACTGGAAGATAAACTTGGCACCAATTCTTTGCTGGACAATGTGTAGAGCAAAAAAAGAAAAGGGAGGAAAATCTGTGGAAGATGCATAGGGAGGCTACGGGCTTAACCAGTGAAGATAGTCAGAAGGGATTAAAAAAAAACAAGCTAGCTTTATAATGGCTGCTGTAAGCCAGGCCCATGTTATGACATGTAATAAATTATTTGTAGAATTTTAAAACTTTGTTTGAGTTGCCGTTCTCCACAGCTGAGGTGTGCTCAAAGTCAACAAGCTGTGGCAGGCTTGTACTAGCTCTGGCTTAAGTTTATTCCGTGCTTAAGAACAAACCTTATGAAATGCCCTGTACTTTCAGAGTAGGGGCCAGATGCAGTGGAGCATATCAGCAGGAGCACAGAGCTGGGGCAGCAACTGGGGGCATGAGTGATGGAAGGACTGGGCTCTTCTGTGCCAAAGGGAAGGAGTGGGGTGCAAGAAACAGCCTGGATGGTGGGGAGAGAAGAATAGCAAGGTTTGAGCATGGAAATACTTGACACCGATGACTTAAATGCTTGTGTTTTGTGTGATTTAGTGGTTTTATGCTCTGTGTCTGGTTTTCCAGGGTGTCCCAAAACCAAGTAGGACAGCATTTCACCTTTGTGCTCACCGACATTGAAAGTAAGCAAAGGTTTGGATTTTGCCGTCTGACGTCAGGAGGCAAGGTCTGCCTCTGTATTTTAAGGTAAGTTGGTATAAGAAAAATTAAGTCAAGGAGTCAATATAAAAAAATACAAGAACAAAATTATCTTTTTCAAATTCTCTGCTAATGTGTTTTACTTCTCTATCAGGGCATCATTTTTCTACAACAGTGATACCCTGAGTTAATCTTTTCTTCCTTCATCAAGCTAGAAATAAATTTTTTTTGCTGTACTCCTAACATTGTCAGTCTGACTTCTAATGCTGTAGTAACAATGTTTAATCAGTTACATGCACTCAAGTATGCACATTTAAATACAGTATGGGCTGCTGCAGAGCAAAGGATGTAAATTCTCAGCTGGTGTAAACCTGGGTATTTCTTTTAACATTTCCCTGTAGACATACATTAGCTAAAGATTAGTCAATGGTCTGTTACTTGGTAGAAATAACTAGGAAAATGAAAAATGGCAAGCTGTAATTTTTCTCTGAACCATAACCAAAGCATTGCCTTTATTGCTTTTATTGTGACAATTTCAAATTTACAATGCACAGCTGAATGCGTAACAGCACTGGCTTCAGACCATTGTACTTCTGGCTGGGTAGTCTGTCTTCTGTGTGTGTGTGTATGAGTGTGTGTGTGTGAGTGTGTGTGTGCTGTGTTTAGCTCAGACAGAAAGAATGCATCAGTTTCCATCTGATATGTTCTGGTATCCAGTCTGGTTTTCACTCTGAATCCAAGATCCACTAGAAGTGACCAAATGAAAGAGGACTCACTAAGCAGATTTCTTTTGGCATTTTATCTGTTTCCGCCTTGCACGTGATTGTTGATCTTAAATTAACCAAAGCAAAAAAAAATAAATTAACAAATGAATGCTGTCTTTATATATAAAGAGTGTGTGTGCATGTTCACTGTGGCTTTTGTCTATATATCAAAATAACATAAAATGATATTTGCTGTGTTTATATACGCATGATGACTATATGAGCAATTCAAACTACTTTTTCATCACAAGTATTTGCACAATAGTCATAGACTTAAACACACAAGGGCAGGTGTACATAAATGCCATGTCGAACTACCATCTCCATATGCACATCTATGTATATTGCCTCAAACAAGAGGAATATATTAAGATTACTGACTGAGGCTTTTACAAAAACATCTAGAGATAGTCCAATACAAAAAAGTTAACTAAATGAAGTCATCATAAATAACTGAAATATAAGTAAGAGTCTCTGAAAAGAAGAGCAGAAACAAGCCAGTCAAAGTGATGAGAAGGAGATACCGTAGAGATTTAGATAGGCTGGTGGTTGGTAACAGGACACAACTTTTCCCTTTTACATGTCTTTTGTCTGTGGTACCAAACCATGTATTAAGCTGTGCCAGGGCTGCTAAAGACAGAGGATTTGAACTGCTGAATGGCATTCTTAAATGAAAGCTGAAGAAAAGGCTGCTTGTCCATCAGCAATTTAAAGCGGTGTCTAAGATTAAAGTCATGTGGCTTATGGGACTTCTCTCTGTAATTCATTCTTTATCTGAAGCACTAGCTAAAGGAAATTATCTCTGAATTTGCAGCCACATGGTCCTGCTTTAAACTGGATAGTTTGAAACAGAAAATATACTTGTACATAGAAAATTCTTCTATAGGTTTTACGGGATTTTTTTTGTGTTCTCTATACACATGTATATGAATTGTGTAAACAGAATCTTCTCCCAAATCAGAATGTATTGTTCAAGTTCTCTGTGTGTTTATCAAGTGAAGTAAAAATCCTCCCATGTAGCTTTCTCGGGCATTGTCGAAAATGAACATGCAGAGCTTTCCTGCAGTTGCCAAATTCAAAGTGCCAGTAAGTGCTAAACCACAGTAAGGTGAGAAAATAAACCTTGAATTATTATCCAGAAAAGTTGTGTGATTCCTTTGCAAGTCTTATTTTAATTTTTTTTTTTAAACTGCATGACTGCTTTGTGAAGGTCTCAGTGTGGATCCTGCTGTATCACCTCCTCCCTCTCCACAAATTGTTGAACTAATGCAGCCCTGTAAGACAGCAATAGGCATATGCCACAATAGCCATATTGTAAAATACCTTGTTGTGCTCGTATCCTGTACTGGATCTTTTCTCCTAGTTTTATTTTTTCTATTTTTAGGAAATGGTCTTCTTAGTTGAGGTTTGAAGTGGCACAATAGAAACTTCAGTGTTCACTTTTGAATAATAGGAGACTCAGTTCTTCTGGCTGTTGTTTCTAAGTACCACTGCTGCTTGCAGTAGGAATAATACTTTCAGGGTTTACATGAAATTGTTTTTGTATTACTTGAATGGTTTTAGTACAAAGTACATATATTTTGTTAAAAATCCTGAAACTGTTGATGGACTCTGAGATTGACCTTAGGTATGCTGAGGAACACAAAATGCATCATTAAAATGCTTAGTCCTAGATTTCATTAATTTTATGACTATAAAATTGTCACCTACGTTTTCAAATGAAATGCTCTAATAAGGAAGACAGGTTTATGTGGTCAGGCTTTGTAGTTCTTCAGTTCAGACCACGCTTGAAGCTTTTTCACTCTTCCTTTAGGCAAATCCCTTAGAAGCAGAATGTTTCAATTTTACACATTTTGTGTCAATTTTCCAGACAGAAAAGCAGCCCCTAGACATTAGACATTTAGCTACGGAAAGGCAGTTTCCTTAGTTTTATTTGATTACTAGAAGTTAGATTCCTGCTGATAGTTCAGGACTGTTAGTGGTTACCTGACTATTTGACAGAAAACATTTCCTCTCCTTTGTTTAACCTTTGACTCATGAATGTAAAACTTTTATCAGAGCTGTAGCAGAAGCACCAGTGAGGTGGAAGTCTACTTATGGCAACAAGGGTTATGTGTGACTTTGAATAAAAGTCTGAGCTCCTGCCTTGTGGCTCATTTGGATTGAAAGAAAATGTTAAGTACGTTTTTAATTAACCATGAAATATCTTGGTCTCTTGCTTTTGTGGCAGACAGTGGCTGTACTTTTAAATAAAGACCCCTGCATTCTCAATCAGGGAATATATATCTATTAAAACAATATTGTGTATGTTTTGATGTTTCTCTTTATTATGGAAGAAATATTTAGAGAAACTTTTGTATGTTGTTGGAGGTTGCCCTATGTTTGTCTTGTATGTTTGTTTCTCAAACAGGTGTTGATTATAACATGAGGAATGCAAAGACAATGTGTACAATTAAAGAAAAATAAATAGGAAACTAGTAATGGTTTCATAGCTTAAAAAATAAAATTATTTTTATTTGAAGTTTAGGTTTCTACATACATTAAAATTGAACATTAAAGCCCTGTTTTTCCTCTGCTTTATCTATTGTGATGGGGTTTCATTGATAACCTTTTGACGTTTTCATAAAACAGCTAATTAATTATAAAATGCACTCCTCATAAATAATTTTATGAATACAAATGTGATGGTAAGGTCTTTCTAGTAATGGACTTTAATTTTGATTTTATCTGTTGTTAAGGTACATATTAGTGTGACAGTTTTGAGTTAGGAATAATATATTACAGGTCTCTGTTAAATTCAGCCACTTCAAAACTATGTTTTTCACACAATGCATTTCTGTACTGACTTGAGAAAAAGTTGTTACCCAACATAATAAATGGTGATGGACACTTGAGTGCTGGATGACTTTTCTGTACATAGACTAGTTCTTCTGTGCAAAGCAAAGATTAAATGATTTTGCAAGATTTGCTAACAGGACAAGCTAAGAAGATTCTTTTACCCGTAATGCTTCTTGTTTTTAGTTATCACACACAAAAGTGCCATAAAAGGCAACAAGGCCAAGTGCCAGCTTTCTGCACATGGGTCACAACAGCCCCAAGCAGTGCTACAGGCTGCAGGAAGAGTGTCTGGAAAGCTGCAGAAAAGGACCTGGGAGTGCTGGTGCAGCTGAACATGAGCCAGCGTGTGCCCGGGTGGTCACAAAGGCCAATGGCATCCTGACCTGGATCAGAAATAGTGTGACCAGCAGCACCAGGGCAGTGATTGTCCCTCCGTACTGGGCAGTGGTGAGGGACATCTCGAATCCTGTGTCCAGTTCTCAATTCAAGAAAGACATCGAGGTGCTGGAGCGAGTCCAGAGAAGGGCAACGGAGCTTGTGAAGGGTCTGGAGCACAAGTCATATAAGTAGTGGCTGAGGGAGCTGGGGGTGTTTAGCCTGGAGAAGAGGAGGCTCAGGGGAGACCTTGTCAACTCTCTATAACTCCCTGAGAGGGGACTGTAGCCAGGTGGGGGTCAGTCTCTTCTCCTGGGCAACCAGTGACAGGACAAGAGGAAATGACCTCAGGTTGTACCAGCAGAGGTTTAGATTGGATATCAGGGAAAAATTTCTTCAAGGAAAGGATTGCCAAGTACTGGAACAGGCTGTGCAGGGAGGTGGTGGAATCACCATTCCTGGAGGTATTTGAAAGATGTGTAGGTGTGGTGCTTAGGGACATGGTTTAGTGGTAGATTTGGCAGTGCTGAGTTAAGGGTTGGACTCAATGATCTTGAAGGTCTTTTCAAACTTACAAGATTCTCTGATTTGATGTACAGTGCTTTATCCAATATGATGTACGGGATAAAGATGTAAAACGTTGACTTTAATAGTCATGGCAATGTTTGTCTATGAATAAATCTGTTTACTAGAGTAGTCCAAATAGATTAATAGGATTATTAACAAATCTGCCTTCCAAAATGGGCCTATGATATAAGAGGACAAAAATGTTGGCTGGCAGCCTTGAGGATGCTACAAAAGGTGAAGAGCTTATACTTGGTCTTTGAATTGAGAATCTAAAAGACCACCTGAGAGTTGTCTTTATTATGAACAGACACAGATGTGTTTACTTTTGAATGCAGAGATGCATTCTTTATGAAAATGACAAATATAATAATTCTTTATTATATTGAATTAATTACAATTAGCAAATATATAAAAGAAATATATAAAGTGAACTTTTTTTGCTTTCCAATAGGTCTTTGTAATATTTTGTTTCAGTAAGAACATTATAATTAAAAATATTGACAAAAACTTTTGCAATTAAACCGTTCTATTGAAGAACTGAAGATTATGTGGAAAAGAAGCAGAGGACAGGTTCTGGTGGCCTTTGGTTTCATGCCATATAATGTAATGGAGTACTTGTTTTGATTTCCTTAAGTTTTCAGGTTTAAGAGGCACATAGAATTTATATTAACCTCATGTCTGTGATTATAAGGCTTAAAGCAATTCTTTTTCCAGCCTTTTGGCTCAAAGGAAACTGACTTTTTATAAACTATGTTGAAGTAGTGTGTTTTTACAATGTTTTTCTTTCCATTTTTGTTACATGAAGACATGGAAGTGTATCATCAGCCTGATTTTTGCTAAGGGAATAAATTCTTTGCAAGTACTCTGGTCAGCATGCCTCACTGTACTAAAGAAAAATTCTCCCATGGCTTTTTGCTAGGGTTCATTAATTTCAAATAATGAATTTGACCTTTTTATGCATAGACTTAAAAATTGTGTTTAATTTTTCTTTTCTCAGTAAGAAAGGAGTTGAGCTCATACATACAGGAAAGAAGTATGGTAATATTTTATTGAAGTAGGAGCATTTATTTTTATAGAATGCTGTTCATAAGTGTTCATTATGAAAAATAGATGATCAGATGAGATTTTGGAGTATTCGACAGCCAAATATACTGGGGTCATGTATACTGCTAACACAGAAGTGATAGCAACAGACTGGAAAGCCTTTAGGTGGTCTCACCTATTTGTGTGTCCAGTGTTATAAAAATACTTTGCAGTTTATACCTACCTTGTGCCTTGACTTGGACAAAACATTAGGACAGTGTTCTGTCCCTGCTGTAATTTGAGGCTGTAAAGCTGTTCAGTAGCTCTGACATTTGCAGGTACTCTGAACGCTGTGGTGAACAATTCTGTTTGCCCATCTAGGCTGTGTTTCAATGATGTGTAAAACCAGGTTAACATGATTTCAGAAGATAATAGAACAGGAGTCCTAGGTGAAAGAAAGCTCAAAGATCAGATGTTTTAGGTGCTATTATGATGGGTGTTTTACAAGGGCGTGTAGTGTTCATGCCTGTAAGCAGTGAGTGACCCTACACAGGTGCACTGAAATAAATTTTTATGATTATATAAGAATATATTGAATAGCAAATGCAATAAGGTCACACCTTAACCACTGTCAACAATACCAAGCATTAAAAGTGTCTGTGAGCATTAAGAGGTTGATGTAGTTTTGATTAAAAACCAGCACAGTGTATGGTAAAGTGTGATAAAGACATTAATATAGTGGCTTTAAAGGAAATCATTAAATCATTGCCACTGTGTCTCTTTGGCTTGCCAAGAATAAATTCCTGACGGGTTTTTGTGGTTTGGTGGTTTGTTGGTTTTTTTTGGTTTGGGATTGTTTGGTTGGGGTATTTTTGGTGTGTTTTGGTTTTTTTGAGAACCAACAGTCAAGCATTTATAAGGATAGCAAAAAGTAAGATTGCTAAACAATGCATAGCTGTGTTCAGATTTCTGCTGTTCTTTTTTTTTTTCCCTGAGAACTGGGATCTGTTTCTACAGCTTTGCCAGCTATGTACTGAGAACAGAGGTGTTAAAAAGAAAACATAACCCTTCACTGGACTCACTGCACAAAACCCTGGCTTCTCTACCAGCCAGGGTTTCCCCTAACAGCTTTCCTTTTCCTATCAGGGAAAACATTTAGGTTCTGCATGCTGGCTTTTTCAGTGGCAGTTAGCATGTTTCCTGAAATATATAAATTTGAAATTTTAAGGTCTGTCCACAATGTGCCCTAAAGCCTTTAAGAAATTCACGTCTGTAGATTTACACTGCACTGAGTGACAAAGTCTGTAGTATTGCATATAAATAAATAAAACATTTCAGGCTTTATTTCCTTTTCAGCTCCCCCTTCTAATCTCAAACAGAGATGTCTAACAGACATGAGAAGATGTGTAATTTGTAAATGAGGTGTAATTTATACTGGTACTATTTAGTTTATCAGACTTAATAGCTTAAATAAGGGTGATGGAAAATTCTGTAGCATGTGGTCACTGATGATGTCACTGTTAAAGGTAACTCTTCTGTAAATAGGTGACAAAAAATGGAATGTTTGAATTTCTTTCCTTGTGCTCTTCAGTTTTGTCTTATTTATCTTGCATTCTGTTTAACTCAAAGAGTATTGCACTCATAGGGGCTGCAGATTAGTGTTAAAATTCTCTTAGGTATTCATGTATCAATGTACTGCGTGTTTACAATATTGGTGAATGTTTTTATTTTTGAAAGTTAATTCTATCTATAAAAATGGCTTTATAGGGAGACCAATATTCTTACCTATAATACAACATCTGTACTACTGTGTAGCATTGCACCACTTGTCAAATATGGGGTACCTGGTCTGCCCAGGTAAAGTCGTTTTTTATTCTCCTGGGAAGCAGCAGTTCTGGCAGGACGCTGGGTATAGGAGGATGTAGAATTTCAAAATTACAAATAACTACTGATAGCTGTAACAGTTAAAGATAGCGGGAAGGAGATTGGACAATGTTTCAAATGGGTTTTTTGGTGCCTTTAAAATAGTAAGTCTGAGTATTATGAGCTAATCTGTGCCTAATGGAACTTCATAGAGGTGCCCAGCATAAAGAATCTATCTATCTATCTATCTATCTATCTATCTATTTGTCTGTCTATCAGGGACATACCATTAAATTTGTGGGGAAAGTTTTATATGCTTTTCATTTATATGTAAAAATATTATAAAAATGTGCAAGTCAGATCAATCATTATAGTATTTTATAAGCACTGGAAAAATACATTGATATTTTATTAAACCACTTTTTTCCTCCTCTTTTAGTTACTTACCATGGTTTGAGGTATACTACAAGCTCCTAAATACCCTGGCAGATTATTTGGCTAAAGAACAGGTAATTTTAGATATTCTAGTTCTTTGTGAAAATTATTTTCCTTGAAATAGTAGTCACCATTTGAAATGCTAAAAAGGGATTCTATACTTTTTAAAAGTGTAAAATTTTAGTAGGATTTAGTAGCAAGTGTATTCATCTTACCAAAATTCAAAGAATCTGAACATAGAGCTGCCACATTAGTCTTAAAAAGCTGCTGAAAATATACCTTTATAAAGTGTCAGTCTCCGCGTAGACAAGTTCTGGGTGAAGTGTGAGCAAAGTGTCACATCGCTGGAGAGCTGTGACGTATCAATTGTAAACTGTAGATCTCTGGAACTATCTGATTATCAGCTGCAAACGCTTTTTGTTCAGAACTGTATAAAATATGATGTACTGTTTCACCCTTCATATTAACTAAAAACTACCTCTCGTAATTCTGTCATCTCAGCTAGCAGGACAAAATTACTTGCAGCATTTGGTGAAGAATCATGATAGTTTAGTTTGCATATTCATGAGCAATTAGATGTATTCCAGCATTACACAGCAAAGGAACTACTGGCATCTGTCTTTATTGGGAACATTAAAGCTATACCTTTCTGCTTTAACTGTATTCATGTACTAGATTACAATTAAAAAAAAAAAGGCATCAGTATGCAGCCATGTGCTCTTGACTGGAGAAGCTGACATTTCAAAAATACATGAAGTATAGAATAGCAATAATTCTGCATTATAGTAAACGGACTATAGAGAATGATGATATTTTATGTAAAAAGGAAATGCAGTAGGAAAGTTTGGTGTTAGCTATGTGTTTCAATAAAGTGTGAAATATATATGTCTTACAAACACGGTAATGAGAACTTGGTTTGGGCCCCAATTTCTCTGTAATAGAAAAAAATTGTTATTAAGGTTCTATTTGCTGAAGGGGATGGGTGTTGTCTTGTGCTGGCATTGCAGCTATTACTTGAAGCAATTTAAGTAGTAGGGTTGTATGTTTGTTGTTTTATATGCTAAGAAAACTGCTTTGATGGGTCAGAAAGTTTTAGCAGTACTGAAGTATTTTGTTACACTGCCTGGTGCCACACCTGTTGCTGAGGAGGCTGTTGGAGGACTTTACTGCCTCCTGGCCCCAGGCACTGTTCATCTGACCAAGAGCTAGACCCAAAGTCTTGTCGATTATCTTGTTTTATATGTTCTGATGAAACATTTTCATAGTGTACAATATAGATATGTAGCTGCATATTTAGTAAAACTTTGAATAGACATATATCCTGGCTAACAGTTTTAGGAAGATGATGTCCAGGATGCATGGACCAACTAGACATTTTTTCACAGTTTTCAGTTGCAAATGATGTGATTCATTTAAGGAGTATATGGGGAAACGTAAGAGATTGGCTTAACTTGCAGATACCATCATTTTATGAGATGCAAAGCTGACCTGAATTTTATACTTAATATTTAAATACTTCACTATAAATTACAATTGGTTTTGTCCTATTTATACTCCTTGGTAACATATAGTTTGATGTGTAGTAAATAGTAATTATTTTTTATATGATAATTAACTACCTTTTAAAAATATTCCCTACAGGAAAATGACTCAAATGATTTGTTAAAATCATTGTATAGCCATCCTGTGCCAAAGGCAAATGCTTTAGTCAGTTTAAGTGTGGTAAGTATTTTTTCTTTTTTATTCCTACTCCGATTACTGATTATGAAATAGTAGGTAAAGTTGAAACAAAAAGAAGCCCCAGCGCTTTGAAAGAGTAAATTTATGTTACTTCCCATCATTAGCTGGATTGGACAACATTTTCTTTTTTTTTTCTCTGTGCAGAGTAGAGTTTGTCTCATATTGTTTTCTGAAAGTCATAGTCATAAAGAAGCAGAAATTTGAATTTTGCTCTATGGATGAGAAAGTAAACTGCAGTGGGATCTGACAATGCTAGAACTACTTCTTTGTGCTTTCAGCTGTTTCATGTAGACAATTTTGGTTTCTCCTGCTGTGCATCAGGAGACACTAACTCAGTTTTATTGCCTCTTATGTCTAAGTAGGTAGACTTGTAGGATTGGACAAAAGTCTCTGTAAGCTGGCTGCTTTCCCATCCTCCTTCCCCTTCTAGTTTTGCTTAATCATGCAAAAATGCTGTAGGAAGAACAGTAGAAGTGCACTCTGTTATAGGAAGCTTGCAGCACATCTAGGTGAAAGAATGTGCCCAGGCCTACCTTGATTTTGTGCTCTGACTTTCTGGGATGTCAGACAGGGTACTGAATCTGTGGCAAGATGATGTTATTGCAGAAGCATCAAAAAGTGAACCTGTCATTGTTACAGTTCCTAAAGTTTTAAACAGAAATAGCATATGTTTAAATACAGTTGTAGAGCTTGTGTGAAATATAAAACTCATACAGAGCCTCTGCTGTCTGCAAGGCATTGTGCATGTTCAGAGCATCTGTACGGTTACTGCACTTGTCAGTGTGTAAATAGGTGTTTCTCGATTGAACCAGCACAGTTTGCAGGATGGAGAAAGAAGGGATTTTTGTAAAGGCTTCCCTTACACACACACTGAAAGATAATCAGATTATTTATCTTGACCTTATTTGTGTCATTTCTTGTTAATTTCAAATAATTTATTTAAGAACTGAAGCCAATACTTCAGTTAAAGTAAGCACAGACTCTAGAAAAACCCTCTTATGAAGGCATAGACAAATGAAGAGTCTACCACTTCTGTTCCAGCAGTTTCTGACCCTTGCTGCTTAACATAATGCTACCTTTATTTTAATTTCTCATGTTTCAAATCCCTTGTTTTTCACTAGGCTACAGGGACCTAATATTTTCCCACCTTGAACAGTGCTAATCGACTGTATTTGGAAGTCCTTCCAGTCTTATTGTTTTTCACCAGAACAATACTGGGTTTTGAGGCTGCAGTTTGATTTTTTTCCGTTGATAAGTTTTTTGTTCTTCTGTTGTCAGTGTAATGTTTCAGTTCCTAGTACCTTTGCCAAAAATACTTCTATATATCAAATAATATTTTTCTACCATTAATTGCAGTATTAAAACCACTTATAATTTGGCAACTCCAAAATGCTTTATAGAATATCCTTCTGAAGTCCTGTGGTTCAGAGGGACATGTAGAAGTTTTAAGATTTCTTCCTTGCATTTCTTGCCAAGTGTTGCTCTCAGTGTTGCAGTTCATCTTGCATAGAACTTGCCCACCTCAAAATGAACGTGGTGGTGAATACAGCTGGCTACACTGGAATGACAAATTGCTTGCAATGAAGTTGATACTTGTTGGTTTTATTTCAATGTTGTATGGCTTTGGAATTGTTTTTGTTCTCAATTACGCCTTGTTCCCAGTAGCTTGTTACATCAAAGAGTATTGTAATCTTTCTAGCTGAACAACTATTATCTAAATTCAAGCCTCTTGACAGGGACAGTTGAGCAAATATTGTGGGTTCAGATGGGGCAGAGCAGGAAGGAATAGATTATCTGGACTCCTGGTGCTTGTTGGATCTACAGGCATCTTTGTTTTTGTAATCCTTAGTGCTGCAGGGAGCAGGGAAATGGTTATGGCCACTTTCAGTTCTAACTCTGTGTGCCTGGTCTTTTGTATTGATGTTTCTTTCTTGGTCCTCATACATTGTAAATAAGCTGGACTGGAACCTTCAGTAATGATAGACTTAAAAAGAAATCATAGTCTGGAAAATAATTGTAGAAATGACATAATGAGGTGGCTTTTCTTTGTGCCAGGATCAGTGTAGTTCAAATTTCATGGTGCAGAATTAGGAAGATCCCTCCCTCATTCACTCAGGTGTGCAGCAGGGTAGATTGCAGCAGGGTTTGGATGGCAGCCCCCAGTGATACTTAGGACTGTGTGTGTATTACTATGCATAAATTACACCCATTATCTGGATACATGGTCTTTTCTAGTAATCCTTGGCTAAGAGGACACCAAAATGCCTTGGTCCAGTTAGGGACCAAGTTCTCCTCTCACCTGTTGGTTGTCTGCAGCTGAATAACGAATAGTCTGCATTTGTTCTTATGAAATCTGAGCTTAAATTTAATTAGGTCACTTTTACCTATGGAAGGCTAGCAAAAGTGATTTTTTTGTTAGTTTGGTTTGGTTTTTTTAGTTTTGTTTTGTTTTATCAGAAAAGCTAGCTAAGTCTGAATTCAAATATGGGAGAAATAAAAAGAAGAAAACCTATTTTCAGCCAGTATTTTAAACATGGAATTTTACAAACATTAGAGCCAGCTTTGGCCTTTTTTGCCGAAAAACTAAAAAGTCAATTGTTCAATCTTTCTCTCGTCTTGCATAAGAACCAAGAGATGATTTTTACAAGTGAGCAAGTTTTGAAAAAACAGCCTTGTCTTGTATCGGTGAGTTTAAAAGGCACTGACTGTCTAAAGCCTATTGTAATTAAAGAAATAATTACTTGCTATCGAATATCTCTTGATTTCAGGCTTATTTGTACCTGTCCTTTGGGAGATTCTGCTGCTGTCTTTAGCCTAAAAGAGCAGTCTGATATTAATGTCCCTTTTCTCTTTAAATCAAACTTCAGAGCTATGTGTGCATGCATCGTAATCCTTGAATTGATGAACAAAACTTGCATTTTCTAGTGTCCTTTTTAGAAAAAACTTTATGCAGCAACTATTAATTTAGTATCTCTTCCAAGGTCATATGTCTTCCTAAGGGAGTTCACAAAGATGTGCAAGGACTCCATACACATTATTTTTGCTGCTTTATGACTCTTAATGACTGCAGTAATGGCCTTTGCTTCTCATAGTTCTGGCTTCCTTTTCTGTTTAATGAGTGAAATATTATTACTTTGTTAATTATAAATAATTACTTCTCCAAGTTATTAACTTCATTACTCAGAAATCTTGATAAATATTCTGTGACCTTATTACATATAGGAAATAATTCTCTGTTTTCACTATACTTCTAAAGAATATAGGTATTCTATCTGAATGTTTCCCTGTTCTTGACTGGAGAAAAAAATCTCAGCTTTTTTTTTCTGTTGATGCAAAACAATAAGCAGTGATATTTATTGTGCAAATGGTATGATGTTTATGGGATGCTGTTTTAAAGCCAATTTTTTTCCTTAAATTTTAACTGTTGCCAAATGACCTAATTTGTGGGAAAAATTTCTATTAAATGTATCAAGCTGGTTTAATAAGTCTCCTACACAGGCTTAATAGTATTATTAAATTTTTTTTTCTCGAATGCAAGATACATTTAGTATCTTAATATCTTTGTTTCGGTCTATCTTTTTCAAGTTTGACTTGAAAACAAGCTATGTCTTTGTGTTGTTAATTATAATTTAAAAAGTATACTGTGAAAACAAAGTCTATTAATAATGTCAAAATTCTGTTAAAAACAAATAAAAGCCCAAAAGTCAATAATTATCATCTTTACTTAGTATGCACTAAATTTTTTTTCTCCTTCAAGATTTAGAATAACATTCAAAATGCCTTAAAATTACTGAGCGAAATCCATGTCTGATAACTATTAAGAGCATTCAATTAATAAGAGTAATTTACATTACATCTGTTTTTAGTTTAATCCATTTTATATTTACATCCTAGATGGCCTCAAACTAAGATGCATAAAATTGCTAATATATTTCATAAATGGTTGCAGAATCTCAAACATTTCTGTTAGCACATTTTTGATTCAAAGATGTTTGGAAAGAGGAGAGAATGTGTATATCTAGTAATAATATTTCTGTTCTATTGTAATTAATTTTCTCATGTGAATGATTTTTCTTTTCCATTCTAAATTTACATTCTGTCCTTTAACTTTTTTTTTTTCCAATTTTTAATTCAATGCTTAAGTTAATCAATGCTACTCTCAGGATCATGACAACACTTAAAGCTGGCTTAATTTTAGTGTTATTTCAAAACTGCAGCCCAGCATTTTGTTCCCTTAGTTTGTGTGCTGTGTTGAACTAGAGCTTGTCATTTCATGTTGTGGTCTGCTTAAGTCTTTGTCTAGTAGTGGTAAGAATGTTGTTGGAAAAATGGCTATTTGCTTAAATAAAGATGGGGTTGGAAATCCTAAATGCTGGGTTTTTAAGAAGAGAATTTTTTTTCCTGTGTGCATAAATTATCAATTTTTTTTTTCCATTGATTAGCACTCGTATTTCATTACTCCTGATTTAACTGGATTGCCAACAATACCTGAAAGCGTAAGTATTCTGTTTTTATTTAACCTCATTCTGGGTTGCGCTGAACTTTTGCTTTTATCAAGAAGAGATTTTTTTTTTTCCCCCAACTGTTTTTAGAAGATGATTGATGTCTATTATTACAACCTTTAGCTAGTAGTTACTGTTGCATTCATTAACCCATTTTAAAGTATTAACAGGGCATTTTTGACCACTGCTGTATCCACCCTTTGTTCATAATTACTTGGCTTCTTTGCATTTATTGGGATTATTTATATAAAATATATTCTACTTCTGCACTTTGTGTTATTTGAATACTTGCCCTTTAAACACTGCATTGCTAAGCTGCAAATTCAGCTATCAAGATATGCAGTCATCTTTTTGTGCAGGAAGGCATTGTTTCAGGCTTTCTGAAAGCATGCTGTACCTGCTTACAACTTTGATTCTAACCAAGAACCAGGAATGGAGGTTTTTGGAAGGTTTTTTTTTTATTTTGTTTTTCTTTTCTTTTCTTTACAAAGATTTGCATTCTGTAGATGCTAAATTCTTGGTGGTGCTGGGGGTAGATTGCAAATGTGACATCTCAGAGCACATTCTCTATGACCTGTTCAACTGGATAGCATCCAATAAAAGAGCTTCGAAGCTTTCTGGTTTCCACTCTTGCCTTTAAATCTGAAATGGAAATATGGATGTATAGATGTGTATTTTTACACTTTGAAATAACGACCCTGGCTGGAGAGGAGCGGGAGGGTGCTGGCAGCAGAGAGGAGATCTGAGGGTACAGTGGTGGGAAAGTGTCTGAGGAGACGCCATGGTCCACGTTGCAGCCCAGAAAACTTGGGAAAGTTGCTGTATAGAGAGATGAAAGAGAGAACCCTTATTGTGTGGGCTCACTGGGCAGGACAGGGCTTAGTTTTTAAATGTATGTTTTCATCTGTTTCACCTTTTGTGTTGAATTCCTCTAAGAGATCTCTTGTTTTAGCTCATTATTTGGGGTTCTGATGGAACATAATTTTGGAGGTTAGAGGGTGTGTTATGGGTTCAACTTGAAGAAAATGTTCAATTTTCTTTCTGGGCCTCTGACTGATGGAGGATCTTGGAGTGGTGCCACTGTGGCACCACTGGTTCTGTGAAAGAAAGGTAAAATAATTTCAAGGTGCTTCTCTGTAATTATTTTTTACTCCATTAGTAAAAGTCTCATCCTTTCAGTATGAATCAAAATAGTATGGTACTAATGGAGAGTTAGAACGCGCAGGGAGTGAAGAGATGAGGTAATTGGAGTAAATTAGCAAGAAAATGAATTTTTATTTCTTGTTGTAAGGTTCACATATTTCAGGGACAGTAACTTTTCAGATGTTAACAAAAAAATAACTGTGACTGTCTCCCGAAGATATATTGGTCTGTACAAGATTGCAAACTGTTTTTTTACTGCAGCTTTTGCAACAGAGAATCAGCGCACCGTTATCAACTGCAGTGTGAGAGGGTGTCCAAGGTAAATTGGACTCAAATTCTCATGGTACATCTGCCTCTGACAACCACTTAAAAGTAGCACTTGAAAGACCAGAGTTTTTTTCTAAATGAAGTGTTAGTAGCCTTAAAGCACTAGTTTTTCTCTCTTCCAAAATTCTGTGCATCATGGACCGATAATAACTCAAATACTCCATGTGTTCAGATTAATAATGCATTTCTGAATTTACATGAAACTGGATTGTCCATTGGATCTTTCTTTATCTTTTCAGTATCTTTTTTTAATTTAAGATTGCAATATGTCCAAAAAGGAAGTCACCCCACTCTGAAGCTTTTACTATTTGTCTTGCCCTGGCTGTTTTTTCAGGTCTACCTGACCTTGCTGCTGTGTGCTGACCACATCCAGAATAGACTGTTAGTCTACAGTTCCACTGTTGATGTCTGTCCTTGGGCTGGGGCCTATCCTTGATAGACCTCCTACATGAATGTTCAGTAATGTTGTTGCCCCTGAGAAGAGATAAATAATTGTTCTGGTAGCAGATATGATAACGAATATGTGAAATTCAATATTTTGCATATTGAGGGGTGTATTAGTGTATTTTCATACATGTTCTCTAGTGTTTACAAAAATATGCTGCTTTCCCAGGCATTTTTGCTGGTAGCTGTTTTAGCTTTAGCTTACTCAGAGCTTGTATGTCTCTGGCACTGCGCCCTGCAGAAATCCTGTTAAGTTCAGCTGGAACAGAGAGATCCCCCTCCAACTTTTTCTCTTTTTCTCCCCCTTTTCTGTTGTCTGAACACTAAATGGGAGGTGCTGGTGACTTTGCTTTTTATTAAACCCCACAGTGAGGTTCTTATCAGGGGTGAAAAGGGTGGCTCCAGTACCTGCCACCAGTTCTGGATGTTTGATGTCCTGGCATATATAGCTCAAGCAAAAGCTTGGTGTTTTTCAACAATCTGTTTTAGGGTGCTTGAAATGGAATAAAATGTGTTGGCTTTGGGAGAGGCTGGCAAAAGTAGCAATTTTATTACTGTAGCTATGACAGAACACTTAGCACAATGGTAGAGGGTGTGTTCCTGGGTCAGAAGTAATGGTCACCTTAAAGCATATGGTGCTATTGATACAATCCCAATTTAATATTTTTTCAAAGTTGAAAAAACAAAAGGGCAAATCTAAGTCACAAGCATAACGAAGTGAACAAAATGTTAATAACTTACACCACACTTAGTTTTTCATTGGCTTTAAAACCCAATTAATTATTATTAAAGCATAAAAATTTTAATGCAAGCGGATTTGTCTTAGCTTGTTTTTTTCCCCCCACCTACTAATTGGACAGAAATTTTCACAAGTAATATATAAAATGTTCCACTTAGCTACTACTGTTGCTATATTGTAAACATTTTATTTATTTAAACAGAGAAACCTCACTGAATATTTTGTTGCTGTGGATGTGAACAACATGCTGCAACTTTATGCCAGTATGTTGCATGAGAGAAGAATCATTATTACCTCAAGCAAACTAAGCACTGTAAGTACTTCACACATCTCCTTTCAAGTAGGATATATTGAACATTTCAAAAAATGACCTGCAGACCTTTGTGGTTTTAGATATGTTCCACTTATAAGACAATATCTACATACTCTTCTAATATATGGTTTTAGTCTGGCTCTTGAAGTACAAAAGTCTGATTTATATAAGACCTACTCAGATACATTAAGTCAGGTTAATTATTTTTCTTTTTAGGAGATGAGAGTTCTTTAACTCTCCTGAGTTCATTTCTGTGCCTTCTAACCTAAAAAGAATTCTTAAGGGCTATTATAAGATCTTTATTATTCACTTGTGGCTTATTCCATTGGAGCTACTTGAAAGAAATCAAGGGTCCATAATAATAGCTGCTATCCTAACCTGGTAATAGGTAGATTCATCTTTGTTACAGTGGTTTGGGAGTGCACATTGTAATATCTCTGATTTGAAGCAGCTCTTCGGACTGTCAATAACGTACAACTCAAAATAGCAGTTTTTTAATTAAAGGTTTTAGTCTACTGCCCACATTAAATTTTTTTTCTCTTATGCCTGCTTAAACTGCTTAATAAAAGAATGTTGTGGGTTTTTTTGTAAGTATACCTAAATATTCAGATGTAATTTTGTTTTACTCTTCACAGAATCTTATAGGCTTTTAAAACACCCTATTTTACATCAGTACAGGACTGTTACTTTATAACCAATGTTAATCACAGAGTGTAATTCTTATGCAGAATCTTTAGCCTGTTAAGCACAGTTACCTTAATTTTTTTTCAACAGTACTGCCTAAAACATTTTGTTTAATATGCTTTCTGTGGTGGAAAATACACTTTATTTTTCTGAACACTGCTTTTGGTACTCCCAAATAAATGAACACGTGGTTACAAGGTTGGATACAGCACTAAAAGTTACTATTTTCAAAGACTTGCAGGTGCTAATTTCCAATACATATGTATGCATGTAAGGAGTGAGAATTTTTGGGTTCTAAATAGAGGATACAACTCCTTTAAATTTTTTTGAGTCTAAAGTAAATTGAAGATAAAGAAGATTCATAAAAGTCTGACAGGTTTTACAATCCTAGTAGGTAGTAGCAATTAATCTAAATGCAAATGTTGGATCATACAAGTAGAGGCCACGTGAACAACTGAAAACCAGAAAAATAGATAGTAAATGAATTTAGGCAATCTTCAAATTAGTAGTCTGTGATAACCACCAAAGAGTTTACTTTGTCTTAGGAAATGTCTACATTCTATTACAGGGTTTTTATCTTCTCCCTTCCTGAAATGGTTAGGGGAAGAGTTGAGCATTACAACACAGTAATAAGACTGCCTGAATAGGCAGACAGAATTTGAAGAGAAAGCCCTTTTAAAGAACCTGTCTTAGTAGAAGCTCACATGATGTAGCAAAAGTGTGGAGTCAGATTTTTTTTTTTTCCCCAGTGTGCCAGTCTGGAACGCAGCTTGCCATATTTAAGAAAGAAAAGAAGGTAGAAAAAGTAAAGAAATACACCATTGAAAAAGCTCATCTCCAATGATGCCCCAGTCAGACCTCTTTTACTGCTCCAGTAGAGAGGAGATAGGAATCATGATGGCAGCTCTGTGCCTGTGGAAGATTCATTTTGCAGGTGGGCCCGTGTCCGTCTGCTTAATACAGTTTAGAATCGTACTCTCAGCCTACACTTGGATCGATTTGAGACTTGTATTTTTTTAGGCTGAACATCTCAGCTGGTCTCTATTGCTGTGATATGACAACAGAAGATGAGGTATCAGAGTTAGTCTGCGCTGATCTGTACCACCTTATTTATATGTTCAGATTCCAGGCTCTTTGGAAGTCACTACAGAACAACAGATATAATATCCTGGTTGTGAGAAACCTTCACTTTGTGAACAATTCAGCTGTTTATTCCAAAGCTTTTAATGAATTAATAGTCATCTTGCTGGTGTCCTTACTTGAAAATAATTTATATCACTTTCCAGACATTTGTAGTGGCATTTGGATGTCCTGGAGAGTGTCCCCAAGCTGTAAATGGAAATAGATTGCAGATCAAATCCAAAAAAATTGCAGATCAAATTCAAAAAGCCACTTTCTTCTGGTTATTTTTTCAGTCTACTAGCATTACTTAAGTCATAGCTAAACAAAATTACTGCCACATCATGTTGTATCCACTTCTGATACAGGATAGGGTTAATTTTCACTTGCACTAGTGAGTTATGGTAAAACAAACAAAAAAACCCTGGCTTACCAAGAGCTTTGGTTCAGAGAACTGCTACCTGCTCATCTCTTTCATAAGCAGAACAGGACTGATGTGTGACTTGCTTCCTTACAGAGCAGTGTAGTTTAAAAGTTAGTTAAATGCTTTTCAGTTTCACCTGTAGGAATTTAATTGAGTTGCCAAGAATGATTAAATGTGGTTTGGCGTAAGTTATTTCTACTTTAAAATATGGATTACTTAATGTAATACAATAAGCAAATGGAATGAACCTTTATGAGCTTTGTGCTGTTTTACTATTCCATACAAAACACAGCAGACTGGTACTTTGTGTTGCAAAGGTCAAGTTTTAATATTCTGAAATTACAGCTTGATACTTGAAAAGATTGTTTGTTCAAGAATAGTGCTACCAAGTACAACTTTCTGTTAAGGGAGTTGTGTCTTATCTTTGGGGTTAAGTGAATATCAAGTGTTTATGTCAGTTCATGAAGACTGGGTTGTGATGTCACCTTCGAGTTATCAGCTCTGTTTCGGTTCACTATCTCAGGGCAGTGACTGATAACAAAAGGCATAATTCAAGGCCCTGCTCACTTTCTCCTTGCCCTTCTTGTGGGGGCCAGGAATGGAAAACTGCACTTACTTATGTACAGGAATTCTTTGTCTAGCATTTCTGCCCTATATACTTACATTATGCTCGAGTGAAGGCTTATGGAAAAAAAGGGGGGGAAATGATGCTATGCTTAAAAGTATTTACTTTGGAGGAAAAAAAAGGAAAGAGAAAAGACTATTGCCTATTTCAAGCGGCTGACTAGTGTTTTTTAATTAAAAAAAAAAGTACTGTCTTATCTTGAGAGTGTGTTTCAGCTTATATTTTATTTCAGCCAAGCAGGCTTTGTTTTTTGGGCATCATCAGATTTTTGCAGTTGCTGTGTATTCTTTGCATCTTCCTTTAAATTGATTTTCTGTGGTTTTATCCCCTTTAAAACTCCTTTGGTGGAGATATTTGTCTGCTAGCCCTTCCAGTTACTACCAAGATATAAGTGGAAACTTCCCACTACTCCTTTCTGTTATAGCTTCTGGGTCATTATTTGCCCTAACTGTTGATTCTTTTATTAGCTTGACTTTCCAACCACCTTAATAATGTGATTATCACCAACCTCACAGCTTGCTTCAGGCTTAGCGTTTAGAGTGAGATGGATTCAGCTAGCCTGAGGATTATGCTCTGTAAGATCTGTTTGTAGCAAAAATTACCATTTCTGTCTTTTGAACAGTAAACTATGAAAGAGAAACAAATTATATGGTTTTGGATTAAGTGAAAGGATGAATGAAACAAAGGGATTGATCTATTCACAGAGGTGGCTGTTTTATTTCACTTTAGCAGTGAAAAAGGAACTCCTTACCTAAATGTCATGCTGTATGTTCTTGCACAGAACTGTTTTCTCACACATTACTGCATCTGCATGTATTCTTATTAGTTGCATGGAGCTGTATGAGTTTCAGTATAAATAATTTTTTAATTCAGTCTTTCTATAAATTATTAAAGTGCTGGGGTTGGCTTTTTACAGGAAGGCTGAACTACAGCATTGATTTTATGCATGCTGGAGGCAGGCTCTAGATGTTTCGGCCCCCAGTGCACCTGCTGTGGTAGTCTACCAGAACATCATACCACAATCTCATGTATTCAAAGCAAAGGAATAAATCATGATTTTACAACAGTGCATCAGTTGACTTATTGCTGTTTTGTGACCGGAGGTAGGAAGGATTGCTGTTTAAAGCCATGTCATCGGTTCTCAAGTCACTCAAGCATGAAAGCTTGTCATATGCCTCTGTAATTGTACCTTACCAGTCTCTCCCTAACTAGTCAGCTGGGGCTGTGTGTTTCGTCTCAAACACCCGGCTGGCCAGTGTCTGACAGGAGCTTTCTCATCATCCTGTCAGTAATATGCTAACTAGATTGTATCTTGTGCGGCCTACACTGGCAGGTGGAAAGGATGCTACACTTTAAAGCAAATGCCTGAATGTTATCTCCACTTTGACTGGTATTTGTTTCAGGTAATACAAGCCTGACGTGTCTGAGAGCATGGTGGTTACAAGTTCTGCATTGCACTGGCTGTAGGTTTCTTTAGTGAACCCTACAAAAACAGTCGAATATGTCAATAAAAGATACAGGGTTTGTTTTGGTTTGGTTTGTTTATTTTTTTTTTTTTTTTGTGGTGAAGGAGCACTGAATGTAAATTGACCCACAAACATACATTTGTGGAATCACTTTTACTGTTGCTTACATGCAAAGAGAGCTTTCTGCAGTTGCCCTCAGTTGCCACAGTGAGTTGGACTGAGCAGTGGTTTTGTTTTCCTTGCCTCATTAGTCTTGTTCAGGTCACACTGTCCATGGTTTCTCAGGCACTGGGTGGACACAGAGGCTCCCTGGAGAATGTAATACCAGCTGCTAGAGAATGGAAAACACCTCTTACTCCAAACACATTGACTTTGTGAATCGCCTCTCTCCTTCTGCATCTCACATCACTGGGGTGTGGTGTTGGAGCACAGTGTGTGTTAGTGTACAGCCTGGAAAGACAGAAAAGCTCCTCTTTTGTGTTTCTGAAATCAAAGATAGCTATTTATGGAGTTAGTTCTCTGGTGCAAACTAAGGATCCAAGACAGTGGAACAACTGGCTTCATACAGGACTTCCATGTTGGAGAAAATAGTGGCATTGGGAGCTGTCATACAACTTAGTGATGTCCTCACATTGCCTTATGCTAGGATGATGCTCTCAGTTCTGATTAAATGGACTATAGC